CACATGATTTTGTTGGGGTTTATATGATCCCTTACTTTGTATCTTCGGTTGTACTTGCCAATTTGGCTGTTTAATTCTAAAGTGGTTTTCGTGTTAAAAAAAAAAAAACGCGAGTTAGAAAGTTCATACAATTCCAATATCAACTCTTTAAAAATGTCATTCCTCTCATTAAAAAAAAAAAAAAAAAGTGGTTAAAAAAATTACACTTGTTCATGTGAATCATATTCTCATCCATGATTAAAATATTTTAAAAATTGACATCTCAATTTTCAATAACGAAAATAACAAAGTTTGTATCAAAAAAAGGAAAACTACTAAAGTTATAGTTTGCAATAATTTTTAGAGAACATTTATGGTGAGGACTATTTTTTCTAAGTATTCTGGTGAGAATGGATGCTGATGTTTTAGTCACTGAATTAAGATTTTAATGGTCTAATTTATGAGTGTTCACAGTAATTGTGGTTTACTAGTATGCTTAATTTAATTTTTTTAATTAATCAATAAATTTTAAGTTATTTTTAGTATTCACAATTCCACCTCGAAAGTGTGCGAGAATACATACTTCTACCATTTCATTATATTTACCCTTCAGTATTACTTTTTCCTTTATTTTATTTTCTTTTCCTTATTCTCCCTCTCATTCTCTCCTTCTCTCACTCTCTCCCTTTTTCTTCCACCACCGGCACGTCCTTTCCGGGTTCTCTCTCTCCCGCCGGCCATTTCTCTCTCTCTCTCTCTCCCTCTCTCTCTCTCTTGGCTTGCTTGGCCAAAACACTCAAGGAAAAAAAACAAAACAAAACAAAAACGAGAGAAATGGAGAGAAACGAGTGTTAGTGTTTATGTCCTTAGGAATAAATGTAGCGATGTTCTTTGAGACATTTTGACTATTAATAAAGATTTATTTATTTCATATATTTATGTTTTGTCCTCTTTATGTTCATATTAGTTGAATGTATGATAAGCAAACTGAAAGTCTGAGACTGTCATTCTAAATCTTTAGGTCATGCATGTAATGAGAATAACATTCAAAAGACATAAATATAAAGATGATAGTCTAAATCATATGATCCACAATTGAGGAAATAAAATTGGGTGCTTTATTCATGTTAAGATTGTTATGTTGTCTACTTCCTAACGAAGACGGCTTGTCTTGGTCGTCGGAGGTGGGACTCCATGAGTGTAGACATTGATATAGTTTCTAATGGTGAAATCTATATTAGATTGGACCGAAGTTGAATTGTTTTAATTAATAATTCTGTTTGAATAAAATAATTCACTTTTGACGAATTATATGTTGTCATCTTAATCATGAGATGGATAATGAACCTGTATGCTTGACTTGTATCCTTTGATGTACTAAAAGGAGACTTCCTGACATTATGTAAAAGTACGCTTACCGGTACATTAGGGGTATGACTCGTGTATGCGTAGATTCGTTATTCATAAATAGTGGAATCCATAGCTCCTATAAAGAGTCAATGATATCCTTTTATGCATTATCAGTGGATTGAAAAATATGAGCGCTCGGCCATTAGACTACTATGTCTTATCTAATGGTTTACTGTTTGTAATGGTACGAATAGTGGTTTTCTAATGGTGTGATAATGGAACATAAGATAAATGTAATCGGGAAGGTAAAACAGAACTTGACCTCAAGTCGATTATAGATATCCTATAGGGATGATACACTAATATATTGAGTCATGGACGGGAGCTACTCAGAGCTTTGTAAATACGCTATATAAATCGAGAGTGCAGCTCTAGACTTTTAGTGGAGTAGCGCTAGAGTTTTATAATCATGAGACGGACTTGTTGGTTTATAAGTAGCGTTGTGATTATAGGAGCTTGATTTATATATGTCCATCGAGTCCCTTTGCTAGCTCACATAATTTCTTGTAACGATACAGTGTATTTTCTACATATTGGTAACTTGTGTTATTTCCGTAAAAAAAGGTTCAAATTTAATAGGAGATTGGTTAATGAATTCATGAGTGATTTATCGGGTGAATTAATTGTTAAATTAAGTCTAGATAAATTGGTTGAATTATTGTTTTAAGAGTTGATTAATATAAGAAGACTATTATATGACTGTTTTGATCAGGTAATTTCTCTATTGGGTTGCTTGAATCAAAACTGAGGCTTTGTGCAAGTTTCTCGTGTTGAAGAACTAGGAAAACAACTTTTGCCAGTGCAGACAGGTCGACCAGTTCATGAAGACAGGTCGACCAATTCGCGAAGAACAGGTCGATTGGTGAGTTATAACGTCTCTGTCACCGGTCGACCGGTTGTAATGCGTAGTGCGTGCTGACGTGGCAAAACCAACTTTGTATGCGAGATAAACTTTGGGAAACCTAATTGTTACGGAAGTATGACTTCCAAGACACTATAAATAGCCCAGTAAGTCACATTATTCATTAGATCACTTGAGAGACCTTTTAGAGGTATTGACAAAAGATTCTTGAGAGGAAAAATTATTTAATTCTCAAGAACAATTTTTCCTTTAGATCTCTTGTGGTTGGAAGGAGTTCAAGACTACCAAAGGGAGATTGAATGACGTGTGCCCACCCGTACTCTGATCGTGGAAATGAGAATAGCAAAGACCAGTTAGTTGAGGCTATTCCAGTCGCTGTTTGGAACGCTTTGATCTGTCAAACGTGCAGTTTCCTAAATCTCAAAAGGTATGATTTAGATCTTTAGTATTTATGTTATATAGCATCATGAACATGTTCTTGGTTGGCTTTGACATTGATTAAATTTTTTAAATTCCGCTGCGCACTTAATGCCATTTTTTCCAACAACGAGCTTCAATCACTTTGATGTAAAGATTTCTTAAAAACCCATACTTGAATTTGAGTTATTGATTTGAGAATTTGTAATTTTAGTTAGATTTGAATAAATTTGAGTTAGAGTTTGGATTTGAACAATTGTTGTTAGAATTGAATTAAATTTGGGGGTTTTCAGTTATTAGATTTGTTGAATTGATTGGAAACTGGTTTTGATGATTTCTAGAGAATTTATTTTGAAATTGAAGTTGAATTGCAGATTTGACATTTTCCCTATTTATGCCAGTATGCTACCGAAATTTCTTTAAAAACTTGTTTTTAAGCTGAAATTAAATGAGAAACCAAACTCGTGAATTGGATTTAAATTTTTAAAGAACCCCCAAACTAAATTATAAAGCCGTTTGTGAAACTTGGATTTGAGTCAAGGCACGCTAATAGGAAACAATTGGACATGATTGAGTTTAATTCATTTTAGGAATAAGAAATATATCCTAAGACATTGCTTTTGTGAAAAAGCTAGTGGAGAAGATCGAGTATTAAAGCTTTAAGGAAAGCAGGGGTTAGGGTGACGAAAAGTTAGCTACAGATTTGACATTCGAGAAGTAGGATATTCTTCACATATCCTTGTTACCCTGTTTTAAAGTGTTTTGGCTATGTAAATGTTTTTAAAAGATAAAACATGTTTGATAAAGAAAAGTGTTTTAAGACAATAACTTGATTATTGCTATTAATCCTATGATGAATTGATTTCAAGTTTTAATGAATATTTTCTTAAGATAAGATATCTTGTGAACTGGTAAGCCCGCTGATGGCCTATACAGGATATGGAGATCGTATCTTTGGAGGCAGAACCCGAAACCCGGACGGGCCACTACAGTGGTGATAAGGCATTGCTTTTAGTCGTAAGTAATTTATAATTAAATTACTTGCTGGTTGCCTGTAAACTGGAACTTAAGTTTATTTACCTTTCAGAAAAAAGTTGTTTGGTTCCGATTGATTTCTTGGACCTAATTATTTTATCCTACTGGACCTTTCGCTCATTTTTTCTAGAAGTAGCGTGGAATAGGTGAGGAACTCGGTTCTAGGAGAAACGAAGCAGTGAAGTATTTTCCTTCATTATCAAATTTATTCAAGGCGTGTATTAACTATGAATGGTAAACCTTAAATCCTACTAGACTGTGGTTGATGTCAGTAATTTACTTTTATGTACTTATTTATGTATGCACAAGTGTAAACCCTATGGATGCCGAAGGCTGGCCTTTGATGTTGATGTTAACAGTAACTGCGTTTTGTAAAGTCCGCCTCACTCTTTCTTAAGACTCAATTTCCTTTAAAATAGAGGGGTTTATTTGGAAATACCTGAATATTTTAGATTTGAAATCAAATTTTGAACTGTTAATCGTTTAGTCAATTTTTTAATCATGTTTAATTTCTAAACAAGCATCCACATCACTAACCCATGTTTGAGGCTGTGACACGGTTGTAGATTGCAAAATGAAAATTCAAAACTTGGAACTAATCCGACCAATGATGTTCCAATTCCAGCTAAAGCTTTTATCTTGACTACTTTCTTTTCATATGTCTCTATTAACATGTTTACATACGCATAATCGGAATGAGTAATGAATCAGAGTAGGTAAGATTTAAAGTGGGTAGGAATTAGAGTGAGGAATTAGAGTCAGAATAAATTATTAGTGTCAGGATCTGGAATCAGAATCACTTTAAATCTCATTCATGCGTTTACTTACACCTAGAATTGAAATGAATTGATGAAAAAGTACTAATATAAGTAAATTTTGTATTTTTAATTTAAAAAATTAATTGTGCACTTATTATATTAAAGTTGATCATAATTAAAATATTTATTATAATAATAAGGTAGTAAAATAATAAAAATCAATTGTCAAAATTTGAAATAAATAAATAAAATGAAAAGAAATGAAGTGTTAAAAATTAAAATACATTATTAATTTTAATAAACAAAATAAAATACTCATTTGTTATATCAAAATTAACAATAATTATGCTAACATTATAATATTAGACAAATAAAATAATAAATAAGTTGTAATTATTATTTTTAAATTTATTTTAAATTTTATACTTTTAACTAAATTAAGGATAAGATAATAATTCATTTTTAGTATAGAGTTTTAATCCGAAAAAGAGCATGAGATTGTCAATCTCAGAAATTTTAAATAAAAATAAGCAAGTAAACGTAGATTAACTACCATTCCCCAATCCCAAGTAAACATGCTCCGTCGGGCATTTCCTTCTACTTTCAACTTGTTCTCCGCCATAGCCTTTTTTTTTTTTTTTGGCTAATAAAAATTCTTCGCCATAGCTTTAAAGCCTGCATTAGCTAAGAATTTGGCTCCATTCACCACCCAATACAAGAACGTGCACTCCCCATTTTTCCTCTTCTTCTTTGGGAACTTCAATTTTAAAACCATCGAAAGTAATAAGCTCTTATTAAAAGCCGTTTTTTTTTTTTTCCCTTTTTCCTATTAAGGAAAAGTGAGAAGAAAGTAAAAGCGGCGCACGTTAGCAACCTTCTACTTCTATATTCGACTGGCGGTGCGTATGGCGCGGCAGCACGCACTTTATTCATGGGACACGGAGTTCGTCCGCAGGAGAAAGACGCCGTAGTGGTAATTCGGCGCACGCTAGCGTTTCTTCCCCCCAATTACGGCGGCGCATTCTAACGACGCCGGCGCACGATAGCAACCTTTACGCGTGGCATGGGCAATCACTCTCTAATTGCTTTGCCAAGTTACAAACTTTATACCATTATCTCGCTCTTTCTTTCTCTAGAAAAATTACTTCGATTCAAATCTTTCCTTCTTCATTGCTGGTAATTCCTTTTTCCTCTCATTTTTATTTATGTCTTTCTATGATTTTTTTAGTCCTAGAACAGTAATTTTTCCTCTTCTTCTTCTTCTTCTTCTGCTTCTTCTTGCTTTCTTATTTTCCCCGAAGTCCGATTCCTCTTATCATGTTTTCGTCTCATGTATGTCTTAGGTACTTTTCTTTACTTTAAAAAAAAAAAAGAAAAATATATTTCTTTTTTCCCTCTCGTCTGTTGTTGATATAGGAGAAATATTTTGTAGAAATTCCAGATTTGGTGTTAATTTGGAGATGAAATTAGAAAGGAGCAAAATCAATATTTTATTTTATGAATTAGATTACATGGTTCAAACATTTTTATTGTATTTGTTGGTTTGAGGAAATATTTTGGAAAAGCATATTATCGGAAGCAATTTTTCAGTTTGGAATTTTGAAAGAATACTACTGTGCATATTTTATTTTATTTTATTTTGTTTCCAAATGCCTGCCTGTAACTTCTGATAACTGAGTGGGAAATGGTGTCACTAGTAGAAATATTGATAAGTGATTTTCATGGATTGAGTTTGTGATCTTGTTTTGACCCTTTTTTCAAACTTTTGCAAAATTTAATTGAGGTGAAAAATGTTGCAGATTTTGTCTTGTAATGAAGCATATGATGGCAATGTAGTAATATCAGAAACTCTTAGCCTGTGGGGCATTTACTCCCAGTCTCGGGTTCTTATTGTGTGGATACTCCGGAAACAGATTGATATTTGTTGTTGTTCGTTCTCGATTCATCGTGCATTGAGAACCCGTGATAAGATTGTACACAACAAAAGTAGGTTGGTCCCTAGGCAATAAAATGAAGAAACCGGAGAACCACAAAACTTATTCAACTAGGGATGTCGTGCCTACTAGTGAACTCTGGACTGATGGCCTTATATGTGCTTTTGAATTCATTAGAGGCCCAAAGAAAGCGGTTGCATCAAAATCTGGTTCTAGAACCCCAAGCAGACAACAAACCAATGGGGATCAGTCAAGGTTGCGTGTGCCTTCTAATGGACTTGCTGCGGATACTTCATTTCTGAAATTAGATAATGCCAAAGTAGTCGAGACCGCATCCCTGAGTGAGGTCAGAAGCAGTAATATTGGTTCTTTAGGTGACGACAGAGATAGCCCGGTTCATCCGTCGGGACAGATTCATAGCTTTGAAAGACATGAAGGGAGTTATTGGGTACCAATTGGGTGGGCTAGGATTTCGGAACTCGTGCAAACTGTACAAATTGGTGCTAATTGGGCTTCTCAGCAGTTCGATTTCCCAGATGATGAAGATGACCTCACTGTTGCCGATTTAGCTGCTCCATACTGGGAGCGCCCTGCAGGGCCGGTATGGTGGTGCCATGTCTCTGCTGGTCATCCCTATGTTGAGGCATGGCTCAGCAGTGCTCAGTGGTTGCACCCTGCTATTAGTGTAGCATTAAGGGATGAAAGCAGACTGATAAGCGAAAAGATGAAACACCTACTTTATGAGGTAAAATTTGCTTTCAAGTTACTACTGTTATTGTTTTGTTGATAGATTTGGACGGTTATGGTCAAGACTTGCGGTGATTAATAAGTATTGAGGTCAATTGGGTGTTTTTATAACCATGTGCCTGCTTAATGGGGCAATACGATGAAATCACCCTTGTGTCTAGAAACTGATAACCTGAATATTGGATAGCAGAGCATAAATTGAAGAAGGTGCAGGGGTTGAGAGTGCAAAAACACTGGGTGCGTTTGGAATTGGTTCCAAAACGTTTTTGTTTTTTGTATGAAAATGAAAACAAAAACGTTTTTATTTTCATTTTGGAATCATTTCTGAAAATGCGTTTGGTAGTTTTATTCTGAGATTGTTTTCAATTTTAAAAAAACTGAAATTGTGTTCGGTAGTTTAATTTTTAAAAACATGTATATAATATTAAAATTAATAATATATTAAATAAATATATTAAATAAACTAAAACCCATTTCCCGTAGTCGGA